TGGGTGTGATGAGGAGAGGGAAGTGCTCTGGGGCCTGGAGGCTGGAGAGGGGGGGTTTTTGGTGTTTTTGCTTGTGGTTTAAGTGCTGATGGGAGTGAGTCAGTGAAGAAGGGGGAAGTGTAAATGATGGGGGAGGGGGCCTGTGTCCCGCCCCCCAGGCTCGTGTGTGGCTGAGTCAGCTGTGGGGGGTGGGCAGTGTGGTTCCTTTTCCTGATTCAGAGAATGGCATCTTGGAGGCTGGCGATGGCCCTGGGAGCTGCCCTTGGGCCGGGGAGACAGAATGGTACCCAGAGCTTGGGGGAGGGTCTGGCTGGGGATGGGACCACAGGATGGTGAAGGGGCAGGAGAGGCAATGGACATGGAGCTGGTGGGGGAGCTGGTGGCATGTCTCTTCTGATGGCCGTGTTTGGTGGGGGCAATAGGTCTGCTGAAGGGGCTGTGGGGAGAAGAGGCAGCAGAGGTCTGAGGACGGGGGTTGGGGGGGTGGGGGGGAGCCGCTCTTCTTTTAACATCTGGATTAGTAATATGATTTCACTTCAATACTTCACTTTTACTATTAATAGGCTTAACTACTAATATACTAACAATATATCAGTGATGGCGAGATATAGAGGCAGCAGAGGTCTGAGGACGGGGGTGGGAGGTGGGGGGGAGTTTGAGTTAGTGTCTAAGCGGGTGGGGAGGAGGGGAGAAGGGTGTAATTTTGGAAGGAGGCCACGGCGCAGCCTCTCGGGTGTTTTCAGCCACGCTCACCAGCCCTGTGATTTCACTGAGTGAATGTGGCCAGAGAGAAGGAGCTGAGGGCGTGCAGAAGGGATGACTGTAAGCCTGGCTGGTTAAAGCGCAGGAGGGGAGAGAGACATCAGTGAGCAAAAGGAGACCAAGGGTGATGGGCTGGCGGCGGGGAGGGCGTCCCTGGAGGGAAAGACTGTTGTGATCGGGGCAATCGAGGAATGGGCTGGAAAGACGGGGGGCTCTGGAACAAAAATTACAGAGGAGTGCAGGTATTTAGGATGACAAAACCTGGGGAGATCATGGGAGCTGGTGGGGTGAAGGGCAAGATGGTGGGAGGGGAGAAGGTCAAGGACCGCACAGGCCAGGAGTTGGGGGTGGGGGGTGGGGGAGGTAGTCCATGGGGATGGTGAGCTCACCGAGAACTTAGACAGGTGAGTGAAGAAAGCGTCAGTGAGCCCGGCCAGCGTGGCTCAGTGGTTGAGCATCAACCTATGAACCAGGAGATCACAGTTTGATTCCTGGTCAGGACACATGCCCGGGTTGCAGGCTCGATCCCCAGTAGGGGGCATGGAGGAGGCAGCCGATCAATGATTCTCTCTCCCTCTCCCTTCTTCTCTGAAATCAATAAAAATACATTAAAAAACACAAAAAAGGAAAAAAAGTCTCAGTGAGCCGGCAGCTGAAATCTTCATGGACTGAAGGGTGACTTCCTGCATGGAGCACCTGGGGCTGGGGACCAGGGTGTTAGGGAGGAGGGAGGGAGGACACGGGGGAGTGGGGACAGGAAACAAAGAGAGCCTCGCCCCCTCCTGGGGCTGGGCAGAGACACTGGAGGACAAGAGAAAATGAGATGGAAAGGGGGTGCTTCGGAGGCAGGATGAGGAGACCCCACGGGGGCCTGACCCTGACAGCTGGGGCTGGGGCTGGGCCGGAGGGCAGCCAGGGGTGCCAGTGAAGGGCGGGCTGGGGGCCAGGGCTGGGGTGTGGCCTGGTGGGAGCCAGGGCACCCCGTCCTCATTCCCGCAGATCTCGTCTGGTCAGCTAGGCTGCTGGCTGTGGTGTGGAGCAGCGACACTGCTGCCACCTGGCTTGGCCCTGAGCCCATGGAGCTGAGACCCGACACCAGCCAGAAGGAGAATGTGTACCCCCGGCCTGCGACCCCCCTGAGGCCAGGCAAGAGGCTTGGTGGGTCTGGGTTGGGAGGTGGCAGGAACGGGGTCCCCTCTAGGTCGCGGCCCAGAGCTCCTTTCCCAGACAGGCCAGCCCAGAGCCTCCACAATTCCAGAGATTAGCTGCATCGGGCCAGCTGGGCCAGGACACAGCCTTCCCAGCCTGGGGCCCAACACCCTTATATTTCCTAAATTTCATTTCCCTTCGTCCAGTCATAGAAGAAGTGTAGCTGGGGTTTCAATTAAACAAGAAGCAAAGCCAGTGTTGAGTTTCCATTCCATGTTGCAGCTGGGTCCAGTTCAGCATCAGGCTAGTTACAGTCCATTAGTCAGGAGTTAGGGCAACATGCCAAGAGCAAACGAGAACAAAGAGCACAAGGGAGGGAGCAAAGGACAAATTTCAGATTTTGGTTCACGTGCCAGTGTCCTGTTCCAGCTGTGTGGCTGTGAGCAAGTTGCTTAACCTCCCTGAGGTTCCTGTCTACAAACTTTGATGGCCCACAGTCTATATGCCTGCCTTCCCAGGCATCGCCCCAGCTCCGTGGGATGGTCGTGAGGGCTGGGGGCATAGGGAGAGTCGGGAAGTCGGGGAGAGGGTGGACCAGGAGCAGGCCTGGCTGGGTGGGCCCTGGCTGAGAGGGGCGCCCCCAGGTAGGTGGGTGGTAGGTGGGTGCCAGAGGTGGTGGGCTGGGGAACCTGAGTTCAGGTGCCTGGGGCTTTCTGAAGGCCAGAGCAGCTGCAGCCAGGGGTGGAAGCGGCCCAAGGACAAATTTCAGATTCTAGTTCCGTGCCAGTGTCCTGTTCCAGCTGTGTGGCTGTGAGCAAGTTGCTGAACCTCCCTGAAGTTCCTGTCTACAAACTTTGATGGCTCACAATCTACTTGCCTGCCTTCCCAGGCATCGCCCCAGCTCCGATGGGAAGGAGGGCTCTAAGCCCCACCCCGGACCCCCAGAGCAGCTTTCAGCCGTTTGATATGCTGGGTCTTGCTGTCATCCTCAGCTGCTGTATACCCCCCAACCTCCCCACCTCCATTCCTCCTCGTCCCCCATCACTTCTTTGCTCAAGCTGGAAATCAGGGATTGGTCCTTCACGCTCCCCTTTGCTTCGCTCCTCCAAGCCTCCACAGCGGATCTGAATCTGTCTTCTCTCCACCTTCCCTGCCACCCCAGACCTGGCTGTCTCCCCCTCAACAGCCCCCTGTCCCCCAGCCTCCCTCTGCCCTCCTCGCCTCTGACCCTGCCCCGTCCCTGCTCCAAGCAGCCGGACACAGTCAGATCATGTCACTGTTCTTGCTCAGGACCCCCAGGCACTGCCCATTGTCTGCAGAGCGGACACAGACCCCTGCCGTCCAGGCTCTCTCCGGCCTGGGACCCTGTCCCTCCGGCTCTGAGGCCTGACCGGCCCCACCTGTCCCACCTGAGCTGAACACGAGCTCCCCACTCAGGGCATGACGGTCTCTACTCCCTTTAGAGCAACGGAGACTCCCAAAGAGCCTGGGTGTCATCCTGGGTAGTGGACAGGGCCTGTGGGTGCCCAGGGGCCAGGCCAAGAGAGGAGAGCCGGCCACCACTCCCTCGCCAAGGGCAGCCCTTCGCCAGGAGCCCTGCCAAGTCCAGACCAACCTGGCCAGTCCTAGGCCCCGCCTGGGCCTTGCCCTGAAGGACACGGCTGGCCGGCTGATCAACTCCAGATTCCAGCAGCAGAGCAACCTACAGCCCCTGGGAGTCCGCCCGCTGCGGGGGGCGCGAGCGTTCACCGTCCAGCAGAGTAACCTGAGCACACGGGAGGCCGGCCTGGCCAGGTGTGGAAGCCACAGCAGCCCCCGCCCCTGGTTGGAGCCTCAGGAAGGCTTCTGGCCTCACGGGGTGCCCCGGGGAAGCCCCCAATCCCCAGGGCCACAGGCTCAACCATCCTCCACCCTGAAGCCATCCTGGCTTCTGGCCACAGACATGCCCTGCCCACGCTTTGGGCCCACCCTGCGCTGTGCCCCCACTGATGGGCACACACAGCCAGCCCCCAGATCCTGGGGTGGCCTGGGGGACTGGCCCTCCAGGCTCATGGGGGAACCCCTCACCCTGGACGACCTGGCTGTCCCTGTCAAGAGCCCGGCTCGGG